CAACGTGTTTATACAAGAACAAAGTATGTAGTACAACCTACACTTTTTTTTTGTATACATGATATAATGTGTTTGTTTTACCTTTCCCTCTTCTCTTTCAAAATCGCAACCTTCGTCATAACTTTTACTGCATGGATTGAACACCAGGGGTAAGTTGATTCCAGTGGTCACAAAAGCCTATAAAATGGGGGTAGAAAGCAAAATATAATATGTTATAATAAGTCAACTACACTACATCTGTATATATACATCATCAGTTTTCATGGACAACAAGTGCTAGGATTTGAAATAGATCAAGCAAGTGAAATTTAAAATTAATGAATTTTATTTATGTCATTTACAAACGGTATAGCGTTGTCACGATACCGATTCCCGGCCTTACCATCTGCCGGCGAGGGACTCAATTAAACCAATGGCCACTGAAGGGTCTTATTCGCTACGCTTGTGCGACACCTACCTGTTTACTTAAAATCATGTTTAACAAGCTTGTGTCAAGTAATATAAAAGAAAAGTGACTGCTCAGCCAGAATATAGACCTTGACTTTAGACTGTAGTATCTACCAGCATGTAAAATACAAAGTTGTAAGTTATGTTCTTACACATTTAAACATCGTTACCGTAATGGGACATAATGTAATCCAGGCACGAATATACTTGTATATTTGAGCGTATTGAAAACGCCTCCATTTCTAAACAAAAATACTAACAAGGCTAATAAGAATCAAGGTAAAATAATCTATAAAATGTGATTTTAGAAGGAGATTTTAGTAATATTTAGTTGTATGTACATACGTCTCAGTAACAATATAATATTCACTTGAAAGCGCACCAGTGAGGGATTAGTAAGAAATATCTCATTTCGAACTGATGGATTTTTTTTAAACCTTCTTATTACAAAGATATCAGACAGATAGGTACGGCCAACTAAATTTATGTATGCATTTCTTGATTATTTTAAGCAATATTATACATATCTGTAGTGCGTGTGGCGAGAAATAACCTAATGATTCTTGTTTGATTAATTATCATAAATCACTGGGTCAAAATTTATTTAAATTAATTCAAACTGTGAATACTGATGCTGGTAATCAAAAGGTTAATTTTGACAGAATTGTTGTCTTTTTTCTTGAAAAAAAAACTATATGGTAGTCACCGGATTGTAACAAAAATAGTGTCCTTTATCTTGCTCAGTTGTTTTACATGTAAAACATTGAGTTAGACTATCTGTAGTAAAGCACGAGACTTGTCACCCACACATGGCACGGTGTCTGATAATCACTGGAGATCACCTGGAACGTTCGTTGCTACGCGCCGACCCATGTGTTTCCCTGCATGGAGCGCTATGTTCATTACACTCAATAGTAACAAATCACACGTGTTTTTCACAAGACTGAAAAATAAAACAAAGACCGTGACATAAAGGAAGCGATTAAGTAACTTTTCTTTTGTATTACCATAGGTAAACATTACTCCACGTGATTCTTAGTTGCTGGAATTTCACTAATCACTCTATATGCAAGGTTCACTGCCCGAAATCAGTTTGTTTCATCCATAGCAACTACGATGATCCAGGGAGCACTAAAAGTTGTGCTACCCAACCAGTATGAAATTAAATATCCTTACATTCAATACAGTGGTACAACGGACATTTTCACACAGTCTATTGTAGAGTTTAATAACAGAGTACTGAAGGAGTGAGTTTCTGGTCCATTGTCGGAGAGAAAGAATTTAGAATATTTAAAGCTTCATAGTTAATAATGTATTTCTATGTATTCAAACTATACGTGGATGTGGAGTACTTGTATATTTTTACAACGGTGGTCGATAAAGTAATATATATATATATAAAGAAAATGTTACGCATTCTAAACATTTAGCGATTAATTTAACAAATGATTGTATCATCTGAGCCACCTATAGACCGTTGTTGTGATACCAGATTCCATCCTTCCCAAATCCTATTCTATTGATGGTGAGATGTAAACGAGACTTGAACACTAGGTGTACTAAATTAATAACATAAGTCAACAACAGTTCTAATTAAGCAAGTACGCTTTCCTTCAGTCGTTTTCGGTAGGTTGGCCCGGTCGGTAGATTAATTACTTTTGATCTTGATGTCTTTAGAATCAGGAAGAATGAGGATAGAATTCGGTGGTATGAGTAAAAATAATGGCAACATAAAGTATTTTATTAAATTGTTCTGGTTAAAATATTTTAACAAAAAAGTACTTTATTACAGAAATAAGAATCAAAGAAACGAAGAAACAACTAACATTAATTTACAGAATTTAGATGTTTTTCTTTGTTTATTTGTTTGGAATATAATTTTTCTCTGGACTCTTATGTTCCATGAAAAAAAAAGTGAACTTGCGTTGACCCTTTTTTAATCTTATTAGCCCTAAGTGTAGGAAGCAAAAAGAGTTTTGTGAAATGTTGGTCAACAAATATTAAGACACCAGGCAGGTGAATTTGTGCGGCAAAACCCCATCTACAATCTTACCCCAAACTCTCGTCATTATTTTATGAAAATAACTTTTTAAAAGTGGACTGCTTATTTTGAATTGTTATCGTGTCATTAAGAATTTATGTCTTTAGTACTTTTATTTCCATTAAATAATATGTTAGTTATATTAATTCAGCCAGGCTCAAGGCAAAGTTTAAAAATTTCCACTTTGTTGTTATAGTAGCTGAAGTTAGGCATGATCTACAAACGCCATCTTTAGGGATTGTATTGAATATATATATATATAAGACCGTTCTTTCTATCAAAGAATTAGAGCAATAAGGTTCGTCATTTTTTCTGTACGCTTGTCTGGAAAAGTCACTTTCATACTTACTTAGATGAAAATTAGTTAAAGTAGTAAAATTTTGATTCATTTCATCGACACGCATATAGCGATTTAGACGACTCTATAAGTACAATAAGCTTTCGTTTTGCTCAGGCAATACTGTGAAATAGTCATTGTTAATATTCAGAAATTTTAAAGCTGGTTTTAAACGGGCGATTTTTATAGCCACCATTTTGTTTTATGACGATCCCTAACGTACTTAATGATACACACAAAGAGAAACTGAAGTATGTGAGCTTAAATGAATATAATTGACTTCCTCTCTCTATTGTTATAAGTCGAACGATCTTAAGTGTTAATCTGTGTTACTTTATAATCTGATTTACATTTTGCAGAGCTCTCATGTGCGATGTAGCATCGCCTGGTTAGTCGAAATCGCACATTCATTATTCCTATATGACGTACTGAATTTTAAGAGTTTAACCTATAGTTTTTAATAACGTTCACACAGGCAACCAGTAATATGATATATTCCACGCGACATATTTTTATATTAAATCTACACATATATTAATTATATCTACGTCTATTTTACCTACATGTCGATATAATAATTTATAACTTTGCCATTTAGACCAGCCAATCACAAATGATGTTGGTCTGTAATTCGCTGTTTTATGGCCATTTAGACCAGCCAATCACAAATGATGTTGGTCTGTAATTCGCTGTTTTATGGCCATTTAGACCAGCCAATCACAAATGATGTTGGTCTGTAATTCGCTGTTTTATGGTTGTATTCGACTCCGTATAATCCTGGAAGAAAAGTCCGTAATGTATTTACATTGTTATGCATTGATACTGATGAACCTGAAAAGTCAACTAATTATGTTTCGTTGTTCAGGTTTTTTTGCACAAAATAATTGTTTATTAATTGATTTAAAATTCGGAACTTCAAAAGAAGCACCTGTAACCAGTACACTCTAATCGACTTGTGTAGAAGAACTTGTTTCTGCCTCCCATAGCCTATTCCGGTAAAAGCATCCACTAGAGGCTTTAAAATGTATCTAGACAAACGTCTTGGTTTATTAAAATGTATACAGAAATTTGCATTAAAGTTTAAACATTGTAATAGGTGTAAATGACGCTTCCATTTGATGTTTAATTAGCAAAAGTGTAAACTCGAACAAATGGAACAACATTGAACAAAAAGTATCGAGAAAGAAAAAAACAGTAAGAATGCTAATCGATAAGTGAATAACACGTGTATTGTTAGAGAGGGCTCTAGTTACCATAGGGATAGTGTCGCACTCCTATTGGTGGAGAGTTACTGCATAATCATTTGCATGAAGATATGCAGAATCTAACTTTTTTTTGTGCTCTATAGAACTTCCCTCCTTCTTTTGCCTATATATCAGTATTACACTATGTCAACACATTCCAAAACGAAACACATTTTGGTACATGATATTAATTAAAAGGATTTATGGAAGTTTAAAAAGGAAAGGAAAAATTCAGAAGAGATGTGGTGCATAGACGTCGAAACAAGGTGTTTAGCACCCACTTCGCCCCATCCCATAATTTCTATAAGTTTATGATTTCCACAACTGGAATTAAAGTTTCAGGACCCCCAAAAAACAACTTTTTTAACACATAAATATTCCAAAATGAATTTGTAACTAAAGATATAAAATAAAGATATTAAGGCAAAAAACTAGAAGGCCATTTTAGTTAGTAAATCTTTGGATTTACAACGCTCAAATCAAGGGTTCTTTCCCCTCTGTGGACACAGCAGAAAGCCCGATGTGGCTTTGCTATAAGAAAAAAATACACATACACATAGTTAGTGAATTTCATATTAATTTTGCTTCTGTTTTTCCCCTGATTTTCATTATATCTTGGCACCCAAAGCATCAAATATTTGGCACATCAAAGTAGCTGTACTTGGACTCATAACGCCTAGAGGAACTATACTTGTGCTATTAACACCTAAAGAAAACTATACCTAGGTTTACAAGTCACAACTCCTAAAGAACACTATATATATATATATATATATCTAGGGGTCATTATGCTTTTGTTTGTAACACCTACGGAAGGCTGTACTTGTATTCGTAACATTTAGATGAAACCACTTATGTTCGTATATCTAAAAATGTTGTATTCTTAATGCAAAGTTACAAAGTGGGCTATCTGCTGTGCCCACCTCAAGGAATCGAACCCCGGATTTTAGCTTTGTAAGCCATAAACTTACCACTGACCCACATGGGTGCACACTTGGTGGAAGCTGCACTTGTGCTCGTAAGACAAGAAGACATGTCGAGAGACGAAAGATACTGAATGATCCACTGATCTTGCAGAAGTGTCCATGCAAGTACCCATACTATAAGTATTAATTGTTGGTACTTGTGTATAATGTTAAAATAATAAATAGCACAAAACGTTAGAATAGGAATACAATTAAAAATATTTTAATTAAAGTCAATATATTATCATTAAAAGTTGTTGCAACGGTGCAACGTCATCTTCAGGAGTGAGTTGCAAGCTATAATCATCTCTTATTTATAATTTTTATTCTCTTAATTAAGTCATAACAAAAACAAAACGAAAAAGAAAAAAAGTGGTCATATGCTGACCTTAATTAAAATGTTTTAATTGTGTACCTATTTTAACGTTGCGTGTTATATATTATTTTACCCATATTATGTTTCTTTGCTTTGCAATATAAAGAAAGATTGTGTTTCACGTTATTGTTCAGATAAACGGTTGATTTATATCACAATTTTCCTAATTTATCTTCCCGTTATGAAGCGGACTTATCCAATACTCATGCGGATATCATTTTCACCCGAGAATAGCACAGAATCAATGTAATGTTTGGCGAATGAGCGGAAATCAGTTTCACCTGAAAATATCAAAAATCAATGTAATGTTTGGAGAATGAGCAGAAATCAGTTTCACCTGAAAATACCAAAGAATCAATGTAATGTTTGGAGAATGAGCTGAAACTGATTTCCCCCGAGAATACCAAAGAATCAATGTAATGTTTGGAGAATGAACTTAAGGCCAATATTTCACAAAAATTACCTGTTCAGCTTTCCTATGCATTACAAAGTATATTTAAATATTAACAAAGTTGATCACCTTTAATCAAGTACACAAGATGAATATTTAAAGTAGTCTTAACGAATCTTGCACAAACTATAATTATCTTCAATAGATAAACGTAGATTTCAGATGCAACGACAAATAGTCACAAAAAAGTCATAAACATCTCTACTAAAAGTGTAAACTTCAGGTGGAACAAGAAATAGTTTCATAAAAAATTTACATTTCAAAAAAATGGCAAAAATCTCAATTAAAAAGGCAAATTTCAGGCGTTGTTGCTAGTAGTATTTCAGGTAAAGCTACTCGAGGGCTATCTACGTTAGCTGTCCCTAATTTTGAAGTGATAAGCTGAAGGGAAGACAGCTAGTCAGCACTATCCACTACCAATTTTTGGGCTACTTTAACCGAATAAGACTTGACTGTCACTCTTATAACGTACCCACAGCCCTAAAGGGCTGAGCGAGAATTTTTTTGTCGGTAACAGCGCGTGAACCACGGAACGTTAGGTTTACAGCTCGGTACGATAACCACAAGGCTGCGCTCGACCCAATCTTTTCATAAAAACAAAAATTCCAAAAGTGACAAACATCTTTATTTAAAATTTAAACTTTGAGTGGAACGAAAAATAACAACCAAAAAGATAAATAAACTTCGAGTTAAACGAGAAATATTTTTGTAATAGATCGAGAAACGGGCCTGCATGGCAGAAGTGGTTACGGCGTTCGAATCGCAATCTGAGGATCATAAGTTTGAAACTCCATCCCGCCAAAAATACTTGCCTTTTCAGTCGTATCAGCGTTATAATGTGAGGGTCAATCTCACTATTTGGCGGTAAAAATAGTTGCTCAAGTGTTGGCGTTAATGAGTACCTCTTTTCCTTCTAGTCTTATTAGGGAAGGCAAGTGCAGATAACCCTCGTGTAGCTTTGCGCGAAATTCAAACTAAAAATCATATACACTACCAACAACAATCTAAATTTCAAAGTTGTTAGGTATTCAGAAATATAAATTATTCATGAAACAAGTTTTTCTTATCTACAATTGTAAGTATTTTTTAAAATCTCCCTTTAAGATATGAGGTTTACAGACAGCACCATCTATTATCGAAAACTCGATACATACTCGAGTTTTGTAGACGAAAATTACCGATAATCATATTTAACTACTAATTTATATTTTACATTTTAGCCGTTGCTATACCTTATGGGGACATGGATCCAAAGTGCTTTGCCGTATTTTTCTTATTTTAGTATTAAATACACAAGCAAGAAAAACCAAATCTCTTACCACTTCTGTGTGACCCTCCTTGCAACATTTCACAAATCTTTGTTGTCGTTCTTCCATCGCAACATTGCAAAAGCCTGTATATTTTACCTGCAGAAGACGAAAATAAACAAATAACAAGATTATGTGTCCAAAACCATGTTGATTACAGAATATTCTGACGGTGTGTGTGAGCGTTTGGATTTGTATGTTTTCAACACATATTCTTAGCTTGGAAATTCTCAAATAAGAAAACATTTTGACTCAAATGACACATATATATATATATATTTGTGTGTGTGTGTTGTTAGTGTGTGATTGTATGAGTTTACCTCACTTTCTCGTCGTAATTTCCGAAACAAATCGTCCGACTCAAACTTTGCCTTTTGATCAGCCACAACACGTAGTCCCTTCAACATACGGCCCGGTAGTTGGTCGCTCATTAGGGTAGATTCGAACGGAAGCATACTCGGTACGTGTTAATTGGTAAGTGCGAATGTTGTTTTAATATATACGAAGGCCTTCTCAAGCAGATACTAGTCTACGAAATCTTGTTGAACGCCATAGGCATTACCATTGGTTGAAAAGTCTCTCATATCTTGCTGGCTTGACAAACCGGAATTTAGGAGGAGCTTTCGTCAATAATTATGTTTTTGCCTTTGTTACGTCACATAAAAAGACATAATTTTATAGACCAATTCATAGTAAACCAATACTATCAGTTCGCGAGCTTGAATCTCGTGTTAATATATGGTACAAAACCACAACTATAACGTACTTAACCTTAAGAACTCAACTCAGATAATTTTAGAGTGCCGAAAAATATGGTAATTGTGGGCAGTCCTTTAACGAAGCTAAATCTGTCAGTGGCAATGTTTTTTATAGAAGTCTACACAATAGCGTGATATTGTTAGGATAACATTATGAGTTTAAATATTGTAAAGTTCTTTGTTTTGTTTGTTTTTTGGCTAAGAAATGTATTTTTCTCTCTCCCACAACTACCACTACGAGCTTTTTTTTTTTTTTTGGAAGCAGAAATCTATTTGCTTTCACATAACATAGTTTTGATTCCACTACGTATAGTAACAGTTGGATACACGGAGTGTAGATGCAGTCCACATCAGTAGTTAAAGAGGAAATCATGAGCCGGGTGGGGAGCAGTGCCTAACCCCCTAGGTCATTCCTTTTAGTGCTCTTGACAAAATCAACTATCCTGTACAACATTTTATTAAATATGTTAGAAAAGAAAACCATACCATCAGTTTTGGCGACAACCGGAATCGTAAAACCTAGAAAAACTTTATTTAACAAAGTAAAAGATTTGACACGCCCATCCCTTCCACCTAACTGTGGATCGTTACCCTCAATTTCATATGTTCCTCATTGTAGTTACTCCATAAACTTTTGATAACTCTATGATATTATTTCAATTCCTATTGGACTCTTATTCCATTTGGCGAGGGGGCTCTCTTAACAATGTTATTAGCTGGGGGGAGGGCTTCCTAGGGCCAATCCCTACTTTAACTACTGTCCATAGGTCGAATTTATAGTCCAATTTTACAGGTTTAAAACAAAAGAGGATATACATATATATATGTATAACAAAAACGATGTATTTAAAAACAAATAATGTTCATAAATATAGATATAAAATTTATCGATCAATTATGAGAATCTTGGTTTATGAAGGTGTATAGTTATACGAAAAAGAAAAAGTAATACTCTCGATTGGCTGATCATTAAAATACTATATTTCCTCGCGAATACATGTGTAGTAGTTTGACCTGCTAGAAAAACACTTTATATTAGCAATTAATTGTGAACTAACTCTTTAACTCATTGGTAGATCACTCAAATCTCGCTAGGGGAAGACGAACAAAATTAGATTACTACAGAAAAACTAACGTTCAAATAGTTGTCGTTCAACATCCACAAGCTCGAAATAAGTTCCAAGGCCAAACATTGTGAGAGGGAAAATATAGTAGTTGGAGTTGTCAAAAACTAGAAAGTCCCAGTGTGTTAATACTTTAGTTCGGTTGATAGAGCACTTGCCTGGCGTATCTTAGCTCCCGCGATTAAAACTTGCTCTAGGGTTTTGTTTGTTTGTTGTTGCACTAAGTTACTCGAGATCATCTAGTCAACTTGGGTTACTCTAGTCAAATAGTGGGATTGACCATCATATTATAACACCCCCACCGATGAAAGAGGCGAGCATGTTTTGTAATGAAATTCGAACCACAACCTGCAAATTGTGAATCGCGGACCCTAATCAATAGGCCATGTCTGGCCATCTTACTCCAAAGAGACGGAAAAAATGATAATATTTCATCTATACACCTCATTAACTCCCAACAGCTTTGTTTGTCGAAAAGGAATCACTGTAATAAGGTCAGGTATTGGAAAATTTTATTTGCAGATTTTTCTTGAACAAAGAAAACATCCAGTAAAGAGAAGATTAACTAACAGGCAAGATTGTATTATTCCTTTGGTGTGGATATATCTGCAAAATTCATTTTTCTTAGCTTTGTTTGTTTGATAACAAATAATTCCTCTAATGGTGAGTCCTTCACCATTCTCATTCATGTTGTTTTTGCATTCTTTCTATTATTTGACTGTTTGATGACAAACATTTAGTGGCTCAGCATTAAGCTCGATATCTGTGGTGAGTGCAGTCTCATAGCCCATTGTATAGTCTTGTGCTTAAAAACAAAACACTAATTTGCATCGTGTCGAACCTCTAGTTATTTGCGGCGCTGTACGGTAATTAGCGAAACTTGAAGATACCATACGCCACTATCTTCTTAATTTGAGAAAGTTTCATTTAATGAAGTTCATATGCAATACAAAATAACAATTATTAAAATGAAGAATCAAAAACAGACAAAACACTTTTTTGAACCAAACTATGGTTTCAACTAATATCAAATACTGAAACTCCAACTTATACTAATGCGGGGGCGTTTACAAGCTGTGTCACTATTACATTCTGCTTTAATTAACGCTTAATTGTAGTTAAATGCTTACACCCCCGGTAGCTCAGCAAAAAGTCTGGAGGCTTATAACGCTAAAAATAAGGTTTCAATAGTCGCAATGACTATAACATGCCCCCCAGTGGCACAGCGGTATGTCTGCGGACTTACAACGCTAGAAACCGGGTTTCGATACCCGTGGTGGGCAGAGCACAGATAGCCCTTTGTGTAGCTTTGTGCTTAACTTCAAATAAACAATAAATAAAAGACTATAACACAGATAACCTACAAAAAGAAAAATAGTGATAGCTTTTCAAACTATCTGTTTTCCCCATTATTTTACTACCTACAAAAACTACTAAAATATAAATAGTTTTTCAGTGAGGAAATCATATTGTTAATGAATTTAATGCGAGACTTTCTACAAAATTCATCCCTCTAATCTTTGATTTCAATCAAACTGGTATTAATAAAATATGAAGAACATATCATATAAATTCCATAAAAATTATTTTCCCTTTTTTTCTGGCCTTCCAATTCAGGTGGCCTGAGCACGGCCCAGTGAGTGGAGTCAAGGCTCTGTAGTTTGCGTCCCATTACCGCCTGAAAAAAAGAGGTATCATGGTACGCATTTAGGTCCGTTGATGTCTCATAAAACAAGCGGTCAAATTCCATTATTTGGATTGATAAGAGTAGCCCATGAGTTAAAGGTTGGTGTTTGTGACTAGTTGTCTTTCTTCTAGACTGTCACTTCAACATAAGGGACAGCTAGCGCAGACAGCCCACGTGCAGCTTTGTGCGAAATCCAACAAACTCAAGTACTGAATAACATATCTATTAATACTTTGTTGTGAAGAGAATACTACAGAGAAATAGATAATCGCCCCCTAGTGTCTCAGCGGCAAGTCTGAAGGCTGATGAGCGTTTTCGATGCCCGTGATGGGCACAGCACAGATAGCCCTTTGTGTAGCTTTATAATAATAAAAATAAACGATTAGTTTAAGAAATGAAAGTAATTTATTGCAGATTAACAGAAAATAACGATACTTAGTGTTAACTCTGCACAATGGGCTATCTTTCCAATATTTGCCGTGGGAATTTAACCCCAAGTTTTAGCGTTATAAGCTCTGAAGCTTACCGTTGAGCCACCTGAAGACAGAATAATAAGAAAATTATACTTCATAAAAGACTTGCCATCAGATGCAGATATAAAAGTTATATAAAATTGGAGCTTTTAACCTGAATTCCAACTTATACACACGTTGACAAAATGGTCAGGTCAAAAACCACTGGAATTGAGGTATATCTGCTCTTAATGTGATATTCTCAGGTACACTGATAACTTTAGAGATAAGGATAGTAACTGTAATGGTTTTAAGAACTTCGGAAAAAGTACTTTTGAGTTAAACTGAATTTATTTAACTCTGACTGAGTTTGAAACAGAAAAAAAGACTAAAACATTATAGGTAAAATGAAAAACAATTATAAGCAGACGAATGTATTGCACTATGGACAGCACTCCTAGATTGATATTTGATTTCTCTGTTTTATTCTGAAGATATTATTTTCTAGTCTGACACTATCTACACAACAACACCATCCCTCTCAAAGCATGGGCGTAACAGCCAAATAAATAAGTATCATAAGTACGGTAGTACTTGTAGTAGGAAAGAGCCAGATATGCAATACAAATTAAAATCTCAAACACACTGCAAATAGCACGTAAACAAAATTTTATAAGCACTTTACACACACCATTGAGTAGTAAACGAACCAACTGATAAAATCGGTGGAGTAAAAATAAATATTTCACAAATCACAGATTTATCAGTCTGACTATCCGATTGACTGAGTAACGTTGTTGGAAAGGTATAGCTCTTTCCTGCCTTCACCTTATTCAAATCTAAATACACTTGATTGAATTACACTACTTGGCTAAAAGTGTCTTTTTTAAGTTTTACTTATACCCTTGGTAATAACAATAAATTACAATAACCATTTTGCAACACTATTAACGAGCTAACAATACAGTAGTAGCCATATTCTATTATTACGAGCACGCTCTGTGAGTTGCCATTTGACAATCCACCCTCATATCACGTGCAGGTGCACGAATGCTTATGTACACGTACTACCTTATCAGCCTGCTGCTGTATCAGTTTGATAAAATAACGTGGACTACGTAAATTCTCTAGATCTAGGTTTTTAACTATGATCTAACTATTGAAAGCAAAGTTTCAGTTCTATACATCTAACTCGATATTCTGTGTTTGTCAAAGCAATTCTATCATAACAGTCGGTGCCTAAGACGTGAGGACGAACGCTACCACTACCGAAGTCTGACATGGCTTTGCTTGAGTGTTCTGGACTTAAAACAAGAATGATAAGTTGTAAATTCACCTTTGCATTGTTTTCAAACTGAGAGTGACGTATTGACATCTAGGGTTGTACTTGAAACAGTGTGATTTTTAAAATATACCTTTCAAGGAAACAAAACGTGAAAAAAGGAGAAAATCTTATGTTGATAACCTTGAAAAGTTTTTGTCTCAGCGAAGAGAGGATTGCTTCAAAAATAGATATAAGGGTAGAAACACTAATGCTGAATATGCAAAACAAGTCTTAGCCATTAACACAGCCAAAGAAAAGGCTGCCACTCTGGTTATATTGAAGACAAATTATAGCAAAGCTATCACCAAAAGCCAGGAAATGTCAAGAGATAGCTCTGTGAAAGGCAACGAGAAAAATAGGCCAAGAGCTAAGTCACTCTAGAGACTTAGCATCAAGAAAAGTTGCGAAAAGGATAGGCCTAGAGCTCACTCACTCTCGACACTTAGTACAAAAAAACTATGAGACAAGTGTAAATTTTTGTTAATAAAGAAATAGGAAGTGGGAATGTGAACACCAAAAATTAAGGAAACAAGGTAGGAATGGACGGGATAGCATTTCAACGCTTGGTGGTTTTTGACACAGTGAAACTTCAAAGTGGGTGTGGTCATTCGCTATCTCGAAATCGCTCTCGACACTTCACAAATATCTCGCATTTACAATCTAGCCTCCATGAATACGCTAGAACATTTGCATCACATCCTTAGAGTTTTCTAGACGTTCTAGGCCTATCTTATTAAGCCTTCTGATCACAACATCGTCATTAAAACCTGCATCCCATTCTTGCTAACAAACAAATTATAACATGTTATAAGAATATGACTTATAACAGATCCTTTATAAATAAGTAAGAGATAAAAGTTTAAGTTTATAGCAGTTGAAAGGTATTTTCTTTAGACTTTCATTATTTGGCTGCAGAAACTATATTTGGAATTTTTCAGAAATGCACAATCGGCCAATGTTCGTTTTTAAAACATACTTTATACAGTAGCACAATTCAGCACAAAATAACTTTCGGCTATATGAATGTGCCTGTATTATGTTTTGGTTTCAATATAGTCTGTATCACGTTTTGTGATTGGCTACAAAAAGATTAATGGGCAGTGTTTTAATTGGGAAGTTCCATCTACAGGCAAGATGTATGTATACCTTATTAAAGCACTCTAAAAATATCATGGTCCCCTAACCAGCCATCATTTTAGTAAACTTATTTTTATTAAGAAGACATAAATTGCTATTTCTAAACTGTGCATTAGGAGTTAAAGTTATAATCAGCTTATCGGAAGGATACAATTTACGATGAGCTGCACATTAATATACCATTTCATTTCCAAGAAATGACAAGGGCCAACTGGCCCATCTAAGTTATCCCATTTTCTATTACCAACCTACTGCAAACTACTTTTAGAAATTCATTTTATTATGTTTAACCTTATCTCTAAAACACTCAACCATTCTCCTGCTAAACTCCTTCAATGTTACAGCTTCTAATACATCTCAAGGGAGTGGTTATTCTGTAAACCCTGTATAGTGTGTAGTCATTTCGTATGTTTCCACCTGGTTCAGTGATATAGATATTGTTGCGTCATCGAGATCATGTGATTCTCACGCTCTCTACTTTCTAGAATTATCCTGTACTTTGGCGAATGTTCTAGTTCTTACTAGATATAGGGTAGGCGGGTATGTATAAGAGGGGACAACGTGACGCGGGAGAGGTAATGTGTGTATAGATAGTGTATA